ATAATAATAATAATAATAATAATAAGGAGGAGGAGGAGGAGGAGGAAGAGGAGTAATAGGAAAGATTAGGTGCATAGGGAGCTGCATTAAAATCTGGATTAATAAAATAATCCTAGGGGCATAGTTGGGACTACATCAAATCCATTCCTAATAGGCTTCTCAGATTAGCAATAATGGGTAACGGATGTCTGAGACCAGTATTACTGATAGCACAACCAACATATAATTACAACATTTGTAATACAGATGACACATCAATATTAGAGCAGTAATGACGCTAAGTGTCAAAAATGTCTGTATTCTAGCAATCTTACAAGGAGTTCTTTTTTTCTAATTGCAGAAATACAATTTTTAAATGCTTTCTTTAAACATATGTATTCTTTGGCTGGTGTGGGTCTTCCGGGCTGTGTGGCCGTGTTCTGGAAGTTTTGTTTCCTAACGTTTCGCCAGCATCTGTGACCGGCATCTTCAGAGTATTGTATTCTTTATCTACTTGCCTAAATTAGGGGAATGGCTTGCTTTTGGAGATTCCAATTAGAAATTCTGCAAGTTATAATTTCTAACACATCTGGAACCACGTTGGGAAAGTAAGTTTGTTTTAAGATTTTATTGTAAAAATGGTGAGTCTAGTAAAAAAAAGAAAACCTTTAGAGAATTAAAGATTTAATCAAGGGAATGACGGACCTCCTCTGGGCTCACTTCTTTGTATATGCTCTACAAAATAACAAGCACACGAAGAAAGTGTTTGCAAAGCAAAATAGTAGGTAGCATCTAAGACAAGCTACACATGGCAATAAAATTAAGGAACAGCCATTGTTCTGTATAGTGAACTGTATAAAAGAGAATGAAAAAGAAAAAGAAAAGAAAATGGGAACAATGGGATTTTCTGAGGTCAAACCCACCTTGTTCACGCACAATCTCAGGTAAAGCCAACTCTTGCGAAGTGTTTAAAGTTGGATGCTGAATAACACAGATTACTGAGTTTTCTGAGAGAGTCTCAGACAAAACTTGAGTAAAACTACTGATGATAGTTACTGTCTTGTTTGAGTGCTGGATTACATATGTCTTTGGCTTGATCTGAAGAGGTTTCTTGACCTTCCAGGTGATTACTGGAGCTGGTCTCCCTGTTACTGAGCAGCTTATTTCAATCAGTTCTTCTGTATTATCTGGATTAGTAACATGCCTCACATTCATTTCAGGTTCTGTTAGAGCTTTAAAACATATTATTCAATTAATATTTACAGCTATGCTGTTGGGAGTCAGAAAATGTCTATTATTCCTGCTTCTGATGAGTTAGATCATATGTGGTATTTAGTATTAACTAAACTACTCATTTATTAAGCCAAAGTAGAGAGGAGAAAGCAATAGGAGGAAGTATTTTTCATTGACAGCTGACCATTATGTGAGAAAGGAGGCAGAGGCCCTAGGAAGGCATTGACTATGTAGAGGTGATGGGCTACCACTATCTTATCCAGTGCAGGTAGAAGATTGATAGAACAGATGTGCAGAGACCATGCCAGTGCAGGTAGAAGATTGATAGAACAGATGTGCAGAGACCATGGTATATATTGCATTGCTGTTGACTGCATGAGTGATATGATCAGTAGCATAGCATGGTTCATCTCTTTTTAGGCGAGCTGGATTGAGTGGTAATAGCCACAACTGATAGATACTCACAATCACATATAGAAATTACAGAATTCACTACCACAAGGTGTATTTATGGTTCCCAACCTAAAACCCACCCACAGGATGGCAAGTGATTTGGCAGTTGCTTTCCTGAAACAGAAGTGGGAGGGCACAGCAGCAGCAGAATTGTCCAATATGAGGATCTGGTACCTTTCAATTTGGATTAAATGTTAAAATGCCAAAGTGTCTCAATCCAGGCAAAATTTTATTAAAACAGCATAGACTCAAGTTGGATGAACAAAGAACAGGAACAGTTTAAGGATAAAGAGTGGATATGCTATAATAGTGCTCTTCTGTTTCTTAGTATTACCTGCCCCCCCCCTTCCCACTATTGATTGTTTAATTAGGGTGTTTTCAGGGATTTCATCTATAGAGGTTCTTGATGTGCAATCATGGAAATCGTTACAGAGAAGGAAGGAGAGTTGATATTGTCTCAATGTAATAGCATGCAAAACTCCAGTGCATGGCAGTATCCACCTAACTGACTTGTTGAAAAACTAAGCAAGACCTGATTAGTACTTAGATGGGAGACCACCAAGAAATTTTAGGGCTGTAGGCTAGGCTGGGATGTCAAAGAACATCCTGGAAGAATGGCAAACATTTCCATACAATTGCCAGGAAAACTGTATGAACATGTCCATATAACTTTCAGGAGCTGAGCTGGAATCAAGAGTGTCTTTACTTTTACCTTAACATGTAAACCAAAATTTCTGTTTTCATATTGTGAAGTTATTGCATTATTTTCTTTATTTACATTGCAAAAGATGCAATGCAATGCAATTATCTAAAGGCAGGTATCAGAGAGATTTATGAATATAAAGTTATACAACTTTAGATATTATTATTGATTCAGAGAAGGAGTGATGGTTAAAATGTTATCACAATATTTCTTCATTAAACCTGACCTAAAATCTTAATTTAACTAGTTAACTAATTTAACTAAATGTGGACTTACAAAACACAATTATGGTGTTTACAGAACTTGCTATAACCCCCCAAATAAACTATATTAATATTATAGTATCATATGGTGGCCCACACACATGACACCTAGGAAAAATATCTGAACTAAAAATTACTCAATCCTATTTTAGCTGAACCTAGCCTATTATGCAAACCAACTCAGATTTCTAGTCCTAACTCTAATCCTGACATGGGTTTCTGTTAATTGAGCCAACAAACACTCCTGGTCAGTATAACTCTAAAAGATATTATAGGCTACAGTAATCACTAATTAGACTGAAGGGGCATTCCTGTCTCTGTTGAACTGCTGAGGTCAGCCTGTAATAAAATGAAATGCACAATCCAAAATGGACAGAAACACCCAAGGTGGCACAGATGGAAAAGTGAACTTTGGAAATGGAGCAGAAAAACACCCCCTTGTCACTTTGATGTTGAGTAAATGATTAGTAGAAGGTGGCATCATCCATTTCAGCTCTCCAGCAATGGTTGCCTGCCCATTCTGACCACAGGGCGACCAAGCAGTGCAGATAAGTCCCAGGAAAGAAGGAATGTGTTGATCCGAAGACCCCAGAGACAAAACAACCATGAGGAGAAGGACAGTGCAGAGGACATGAGAGAGAGAAGCAATGAAAGCTATTGTGATCTGGTTTGATGCCGAGGATGAACAAGTTGGTGAAAAAGTGATGACAAGTTCTTAGACAACAGCCTTCCTACAACTCTTTCTCCCTGCCAGCAAACAGGGAGTACAGGGAGTACAGCCAGAGAAGCAGAAGATCATGGACGATGGGCAGATAAGGTGCTAGAGCAGGCTTAAAAATCATGCTGTGAATCTGCAGGCCTTTTTCACACAACTGATAAGAATGCAAGATAACATAGCTGAAAGAGGAAAGAGAGGTGGAAAAAGAAACCAAACTCCTCCTTAGAGGGTAATCACAAGTGAATAAAGAGATGGAGGGAAGGGATAGGGCAAGACAGTTCAAAGCTGCATCTGAAAGATTTAGAAATTACTAATCATTTTAAGAAGCTCACAGATATTAATGCCTTTAGGAAACCACATATAGAAGCACTACGCATAGTACCTCACTAATCCTCATTCAGTTTAGCAACCAAATTTACTTTGTAAATATTTTTTTTCTGTAATAAAACTTCAGTGTCTTGCCTAGGAATACAACACCATCTTTAAAGCTTCCTTTCCTCAGTCCAAAGGTACACATAATTATACTTCTTTTCTGAAATTACCATAGTTAATGTGACTTTACTTAAGGCACGGAATAGAGGCAATCAATTTACATCACACATAAAATCTGTTGTTCAGAGAAAGTATTTATTGCACTCTGTAAATGTTATAGAGCCGCTGTTATAGGTAATGCTGCTGACATGAAATGATTTGGAATTGTTGGGAGTTCTAGAAAAGCACAGACTTGTCCTAAGACAGTATGACTTACCATAGACTTTGAGGCATGTCTTGCCTGAAATAGGTCCTAAGGGAAATGTAGTGAAGATGCAGTTGTAACAGCCTTCATCCTTGAATGTCACCGCATGGAAAGTGATGGCAGAAAAAGTCAGATCATTCTGGGAAAGATGGATATTGCTCTGGTTGCTCAGCACTTTAGCTCCATAAGCCTTGCTGTAAGTTGCTATGTTGGTCTGGTTCTTTTGCCAGGTGACCTGAACAATGTCATGTTGTTTGGCCAACTGACAGAACAAAGTCACATTTTTTCCAGTTCTGATAGTTTGAACAGGCTTGTGAATCACTTCTGTGTCACCTGAAAAGAAAGCTCAAGGTACTAAATTCTGAAGAAGATCTTTTAAAAAATGAATTCTTCATGACAAAATAAGTTAAGCGTGTATCACCAGCATTAGCAGTATTCTGAATATTGTTCACCTTCTTGAGAAATATAAAAAGAGATCTTGGGATCTAATGTTCTTTAATATTTTTCTTCATTGCAGATGTATAAGAATTGTTGACAATTACTCCAAAATCATAAGAAAACTGAGCACGGTCCTTCTCAGGCACTTTGGCCGCACATGTTCCAAATCTGAGCCCTATGCTGAGAATCAGTGTTAAGGATAAGCCCTGAAGTCCTATCTAGACATTGTAGAAGGAAAGTTGTGTTAGTCTATGAATGCAAAAAAAATCAGAAGGAGTCTGGTGTTATCTTTTCAAACTAGCAAATTTTATTACAAGGTATAAGCTTCATTGGCTGTAGCTCCCTTCATCAATGCATTTGATGAAGGGAGCTGCAACTCATGAAAGTTTATAATTTTAAATACAATTTGTTAGTTGGAATGGTATTCCCAGATACCTTTTGATTAAAAAAAAAAAAACAATGGTGCAAATTAACGTCTGCTTTTTCATTCAGTGAAGACTACAGTTCTCTTATGCCAGCACTTAACCATCTCTACTGGCTGCCATTGCGTTTCAGGACCCAATTCAAAGTGCTGGTTTCGAACTTTAAAGCACTAAACATCTGAAGATCAGCTTACCTGAAGGAGCACTTTCTCCTGTATGTACCTACCCAGCCCCTAAGATCATCTAATGAAGCCCTCCTCCAGGTCCCCCCACCAAAGTAGGTGAGGTGAGCCTCTACAAAAGGGACAGCATTTTCTGTGGTGACTGCCTTGCAGCTACCTAGCTTATACAGTGCTTTCCTTTTGCATTTTATTTGATTTTATTGTATTTTATTGTAAAATTGTAACTTTTTATGTACTTTATTGTAAACTGCCCCAAGAGCAACAGCTATTAGGCAATTTAAAAAATTGTAATAAATGCAAATAAATAAATGAAATAAATCCCTACTCTAGTAGCAGTGGCCAGTAGCAATGGAGGAGAGACCAGCATAGACAAGGTGTCTTGGAGGAATGGCTATTGCATTCTAGCTTACTACATCAACATTGCATGTCAAAGCTGTGCATCATTTCATCAGATAATAAATCTAGTGAACCCCCTGTAAAATACCACAATCTGATACTACTCTGCTACCAATATCTTTTCCTCTACCCTTTCTGAATCTGCCAATATCATTCAATCTGCTCTGCTGTTATTGGCATCATACAAGGAAAACAGTGAGATGTTTACTGTTGAGTTTATCATATCTTATAGAACTGCCACTCAAAGTCTTTTAATCATATGGCTTTGTCCATAATACTAACTTGCAATAAAGCTAATCACCAGAGACAAACAACTTGCTCTCCTCTAGCTATTTTGGATTACAGCTATCATTAGCTTCCGTCTGTTTGATCAGATGCAAGGAACTGTGGAAGTTGTATTCCAAAATATCAGGAGGGCATCAGGTTGCCTAAAAACAATCTGTCCAATACTCACCTAGAGAGTATTGAGTCCAAAGGACACAGGTGACAAGGAACGTGGAGATCATTTCAACTCTGTGGGATGTTAAGACACTGATAAGTTACGTTTAGAGTCTTAACTTATTACAGAGTTATTAAAGAGAACTGAAAGCTGGTGTTTCCCCCCCCCCTCTTTTTTTTGGGAAGTCCTTATAAAATCACTAGGGGAATTCAGATTCTATGACACTGGATTTTTTTATATGCATGTTCAGCTCAATGCTATACTCTGAAGCAAGCCCCAGATTGAATTTTCTGCAATCTAGGGTAGCCTGTAGATGTTATACAAATATAGGATATTTCCAACTCAGTCATGTGTTCTTGTTCATTCAGAGTTCATTCTGAATTTCCCAGGGTTTAACATAAATGAAAACAAAGCACTTGGAACCAGTTGCTAAATAATGAAAAGTAGATTTTTATTTGGTTCACTAAAATAAGAAAGTTGGTCCAGAACTCTGCAGCCAGGCTTCTTAACAGAAGCATATGACTTCTGTGTTACAATAGACTCATTGGCCTCACGTATTCCACATCTTTCAAAAGAGGAAGGTTTGCCTTAGTTATACATGGTATCTGAATGATATATTTAGGCAAAGCTGCAATGTATTGCAATTTTTGTCAGTTCTACAAACCCAGATCCCACTGTTTACTCCCAGCTGGAACTGCTTTATTTAACACTATAGATAGATGAGGACTTTAGCTTATTTCTAGATATGAAACCCATTTTCTTTTAAAACCACATGCTGTCAGTTGACAAGAAACTCTATAAAAAGAAAAATGTGGTTGTCTCGCTAACCACTACCTGAAACAATAAAGGTTTGTGTTTGCTACTATATGAATAGTAGCTCATTGGACCGAAGCCATTTAATCCATTATGTTTAAAATGTAATTCCTGAATAATAGTTGTTTTTTGGTTTCTTCTATATGCTTGGTTTTGGTGGAGTGTGCATGGATCCACACTCTACCAAAAGTGTGTATGGATGTCACATGCTATGCAAAAACTAAGAAATGGACTTCACATTCTTCTGTTATGCTTACAAGCACATGAGGTTGTTCATATTAGCAACCAAATTCTGGCTGAAGTTTCTATCTCATGATTCCTGCAAAAAATCCAAACTACTACGGCTGTTATGTATGAAGACTTATTAGAAAACCAAGGTTTAAATGTATATTGCAGTCTGTTCCCTTATACTGTTGGGAAATGATGTCATTTCTCTTTTTAGTAACTATACCCCCAGAGATATGAGAGAGGAACTTCTTTTTTTTTCCACACTGCAATGTGACTATACTTTGTTTGGTTCTAGAGACTATGTGAATGAATGATTATGGCTTTCTGACAGGATTTTTCTTTCGGTCTTTCCAGCAAACAGAACAATTGTAATAATAGATCCAAAGAAGACGGAAGATAGAAAGGGGAATTTAAATTAGTGTTACAAGAACAGAAGAGATGGGAAACAAAGTAGTTAAGAAAAGGTAAGTTCCACATTGTTTCAAGATCAACTTCCCATCCTCCTTTTAACTTGAGTTCTTCCAATTACTGTAATTAAACAATGCCACAAGTTTTCCCAAGGTTTGGCTAATTGCAAAGGTTGCATTTTCTCCAGTTGTGATGAACTGAAATGTCATTTTTGTAAGTATATAAGTTGAGAGTTTTCTTTGTAGATATGCCTTCTTCCTATGCATTTTGTATGGTCTGAAGTATGTTGGATTTAGTTACTGAAGAATGGATACCTAAAACTATAGGAAAATAAGGTTCCACAGTTCAGATTTTATCAGGAGAGAGGTATTATTTTCCCTCCAACCATTAAGCAATGCAATTCAAATTGTTCTATTCATTACTTGATGGAAATGTATTTCAGTTTTGCTAATATAAAAAATAACCTTTACTCATAATTACCCTATGTATGTTTCTTAGGCGGATATGAATAACTGCTGGATAATTTTGAAAATAAACAGTCAGCTATTAATTATTATTATGTTCCAGAAGAATTAGGTGCCACTTAATATGCATATCACCTAGTCAATAAATGCTGCATTTGTATGTGTGTGTGACTAAAGAATGGATGGATGGATGAAGATAAGAAATGAGATCTTTGAATTATTCCCTGACGCTGTCTGGGCTTGAAAGTGAAACAGAGTTTGTTCTGGTTGATACTTGGATGGGAGAGAACCAGGGAATACCAGAACTGTATACTACACTGGGAAGTTGAAAAAACATCCAAAAACAAGACAATAGCAAGATACTTCAACACAATTGCCAAAAAATCTCTGTGAATGTGTTTATGCAGGCAGCAGGAGACAAGTTTCACTTGAAGGAGACTCTACTACATTTGTATAGGATTGCAATATAACTTCCTCTGCACTATTTTAAGATGTATGTAATGGCAGGTTTTCTTCCTTTAACACAAAGCCAACTATTTTCCTCCTCTAGACTTCCCATCGCTAGCAATGATTACCGTCAGTGGATTCAAAAGCTTGCTTATTATTTTGTAAGACTTAGAGAACCTAATAAAGGTGCTGTCTGTGCTTTTTAAAAATGGCAGAAACTGTAAGCATTGAAGAAAAGATAGGAACAGATTGCACAGCAAATAAATTGAGGCATAGAATGCCCGTACTGTTTTTGTCTTGATTTTATTTGCAGGACGAGAAAGAGAGAGAGAGAGAGAGAGAAGCAACAGTAGCACATTTCCACCATATTGCAATGATAAATAAAACTAACGAAGTTCACGATAAGAAACGGTAAAGAAATCTAAAATAGAGTGAAAAAACAAAAACAAGCAAAAACCAGAAGGAAAATTCATAGGGAAAGAAAACATTCAGAAAACTGGTAGAGAGATTCCAGCACAATATTGAATCAAACAATGAAATCATTAATATTGTGGCTGAACTCCCCTCTTAAGCTGTTTCTTTAATATTTGTGTTGCAGCAAAAGACCTTGGTCTCATTTTAGAAGAAGATATGCAGTGAGAAAAGATGTAAGTAGTCTTTTGTTTTGTTTAACTTTTCCGTTTTAGGCTTGCTTAGTAAGGGAATGTGGCTGAGGAATATACCAGCACTAGGAAGCCATACTGAATGATTTGAAGATACTGCTGTTATGATTAGGAAATTGTACTAGGAACTGGAAAACTCAAGTTCAATCTGCCCAGTCATGGATATTCAGGGAGTGATTTTGGACCAGCACAACCTATTTTACAGACTGGGATTAGAGGGAGAAAATGGAATTCCCCATGTAAACTGCTATGGAGAACAGAGGGGGTATGTTTAATATTAACAAAACAAATACTATCTGAACTTTACTAGAACCAATAGGATTTTCACTTTTTTTAAAAAAAAAAGTACTATAAGGATCAACAACATTCCTCCAGAGGGATATGATATGAATACAAGTACTTTTTTACCTGTTACAAAACTGTGCTTGTTACAAAAACAATTTTATAACATATGATACACAACTGTGGGATAACAAAGATATTGGAGAACAGCATCAAGATTCAAATGATCTTGGCAAGTTGAAATAGAAACCAACAAAATTAATTTCCACAGCGAAAAATGCAGAATCTTTCAATTTGGTAGGAAAAAGCATGAGCATAAGATCTGAGGATATGGGCAGCTGGACATGCATGAAATATCTGAGTGTCTTAGTGGCTTGCAAACTAAATATAAATCCACAATTAGATACAGCAAGCAAGCAAGCAAGAAATGTAATCCAAAACGGCATCAACAGAAATATACTGATAAGCTCAAGAGAGGTAATTGTTCATCTTTATTCTGCATTGGTTGGACCACACCTAAATATTCTGGCCACAATATTTTTGAAAGGACATCGATAAACTGGAATATATCCAGAAGACAGTAACCAATATGAGAAGGGGCCTGGAAGGAAAACCATATGAAGAACAACTGGAAAACAGGATGCTGTAGGAGACATGATAGCTGTCTTCACATAGCTGAAGGCTGTCATGCAAAGGCAAAGCATAATTTGTCAGAGTTGTTTCAGAAAATAGGACAATAATTAATGGGTTTCAACTGAAGAAAGCAGATTTTAAAACGACTTATGTTTTTAACACTTAAAAGAAATACATTATAATTGTTCAACAACAGAACAGGCTGCTTAGGAGATGGCGGACTCTCCTTCATTGAGGGCATATAAATGAAGATTGGGTGGCCATCACTCAGGGATGCTATAGTAGTGGACTTGGTATAGGATAAGGAGTTGGAATATGTGGTGTTTAAGGTCCTCTTCAATCTTCATATTTTATGGTTCTACAAAAATGAAGACATGGACTGGGTTGGTGAGAAATGGGAGAAACAATTTAAAAGAAAGATGCTCCAGAAATGTAATATTTATCTATGTTGCAGGCAGCTAATAAAAGTGATTTTGTTAGTTATTTCAGTTATGCTGTAGCTTTTCATACTTTGCCTAGTCCAGTTTTGTGACATTGCTATTTATCTGATTATTGCCTTGCTTCATATATTAAGTTTACTAGGACAATAAATCCACCTCTCTGTAACAAGTCACCTTCCTCTTGCAGCCTTCTGTAAATTGAAGGATAAACTTCTGAAGTGGGCAACATTTCCCCTCACTTGTAAACTGTGCAATTAGAACAGACCAGAAATTTTCCTGGAATGGATGCATTCAATGGGGATATTTGCCTTGGTTCTACATGTGGAATGAGCCTCATTCAACATTATAATTCCATATGTTCAGTTGGATTAATACTTTTCATTTAGTGCAGAAAAAAGTAATCAGTTAAAATAAAATCCCAAGAGTTATTTCAGAATTTCCCAGTGCACTTCTATTTTCTTGAGCCATTGATTTCATCTAAATTGATTTTATCCAAATTTGTGGATAAAAAACAATGAAACAAAATTAACATAAAAAATGATGGCTAGGAAGGTCAAACAAGTTCTGCCTTTGGCCAATCCAAAGTATTAAAAAGGCCCTGGAGCAGTTACTCTTTTCAGAACTTCCAAAGTGCTTAATTAAAAGGCCTTATCAGCGCACTTTTGTCCTCTCTTCAAGTCAAGCCTCCCTTGAGTTTCTTTCAGCTCCTAAAGACTCCATAGAAATGTCCATGGAGTGTTTTTTACCACAAAAGAGAAATGGTTAGCTGTTGCCTTCTTTTGGGTTTTTTTTTTTTTAAATTTCCAGTCTAGCTTATAGATTTGGGATTTCCTAGTGAGGTTATAGCCAAGTGATCATCTACTTAACCTTTTCAAAATCAGTAAGATCACCTTGGTGCTGCACCTATTGTGGGCATTGTGCTTCCTTACGTATTTTTAAGTGCAAGAAAAGCATAAATGGCTCCAATATGTGTATGCTTCGATTTCTCATTTTCTTTCCAATAAAGGTTGAAAACATTTTCTCACTTTCTGATCAGGTACTGATTTATTCATTAAAATAAATTAAACTAATTTCAAGACTGAAAGATTGAAAAGTTCTCATTTATTTGTCCATTATCTAACTGCACAGTTTTAAACTTTCTCATTCAAAACCCCTTTTTAGTTGTGAATTATTTATTGTTTTATTACTGTTTTTTACCTGTTGGTGCAAGCTGCCTATTTTTTTAACCTTTAATATTGGAAACTTTTTTAAAAACTCAACTTTTTAAAAAATGCATTCTTTACAGATTAATAAAACTGCTTTTATAAGTGTGAAAATTTATTAGTAAACACAGGAACAATTTTGTGAGAACAAGGGGCATGTTGTGCATCTGACCTCTCGATTGAATCTATTTAAATGCCATTTCCAATTCAGTTGGAAATGTTCTTAAGAATGACTCATGGATTCTCATGGCAATGTAACCAAGAAGGAAGTTGCTTTGGATTGTGATCACCCTAGACAACTGACACCGACATCTCCTCACTCCTTCCTTCCTTCCTTCCTTCCTTCCTTCCTTCCTTCCTTCCTTCCTTCCTTCCTTCTTTGCACTGCTAGCACAGTAAAAAAAACTCCTGTTTTCCAGCATCTGTTTTTACAGCCATCCCAACTGCTGTAAAGGAGGACAGAAGGGCTGAATTTCTTTTTCCATTTCTTGGTTTCCTCTCTACCCTTCTCTGCAATGGTCCCAACAGGATCAGACCAGCATTCTTGCCTCACCAATTTCTGCATCCTTTTTACATAGTTGTGTTGCTACAAATGAGGAAGAAGGAAGGGATGGTGGCCACGGAGATGTCTAAACAATACAATACCTCCCTAGGTGTCTATCATCAAAGGCAGAGGAGCCTGTTAAAGCCCACACCTACCCACCAGTCATTTGGATAACATAGTGACCTCTGGCATTTACTTTAGTTCCCCCATACAGAACCATGCCTCAGCAGCATCATTTGATGACATCAAATAACCAATTCCCTCACCCAATGACTCAGTTACATTTGATGTGCGAGCAGTGCTTTTGAGCACATATTCTAGGGGGAAAAAAGGATATTCAGCCAGGCTTTCCAGGATGGTTGTACGTATTAAAATAGTCAAGCAAATATCAACCCAGGATGGCTGTTGTTTTTTTCCAATTTAAGCCATAATGAAACCAATAGATCTGGAGGACTGGGTTTTGCATACACATAGCTTACAATTCTTTTACATTTATTTTCATTGGTTTTAATTTATTCTAATTAATACTAACCAAGTCTAGATTAAACTAACATCTGGGATTTAGTCCCTTGAGTAACCACAATAAGGATAGTCACATTAATGAAAATTATTGGAAGAACTGTGGTTATATTAAGAACAGTAATTAAATTAAGATGTAGGAAACATACCTATAGCATTTAGTACAATGGTAATATGCAAAAATAATAACATGAATCTCTTTTTATCAGGAGAACACTGTTTACAAAATACCAGACAGCCATTCTGAATTACACTATACTACTATTGACTTTGCAGAAACTGCCAGTAGTAACATAAAGGCATCAAGCACAATGACTGACTATGATGATATCACCATTCTTTCCAAAACAGTGACTGTTGCCAGCCAAGAAGACAGTGATGATTATGATTATGTACTAATGAATTAGGAGTTGCTTTATGCTGTCTGCTTAGAGTTGTTCTCTTTGGAAAAGCCATTCTGATTGCATTTTTTTTTCAAATCATATTTTATGATGTAATAAAGTTTGCACTGTTATCATTCCCCAAATATCCTTGCATGCTGTATATACAGTATCCTCCTGTAAGTTCTTTTAAGTATGATGGTGAGATACGTATGTGTGTACTGTCAATAATTTTCTCCCTCAAACTACTAGAGCAGTTTCTAGGATCCTCAATATTTCATGGTGTTCTATGGTGATATTTATACTGCCCCAAAGTGCTGATCAAACCAGGCTCTTCACCTGTACCTTCCAAGACTCCAGCTGGATCAGTCCAAACAGTAGCTTTCACAGGGAGAACACATCCCCACCACTGCACTGTGAGTTATTAATATGAAATGCTCAATATTAATATTTGCCAGGTTTTCAATTATATGGAAATCTGGGAGAGATGACACTTTATCCACCAGGTCTCTGATCCCATGGTGAACTCTGATTCCATAGTAAACTTTACATGATTGGTGATCACATGGATAAAGAGCTGCTCTCCCCACTTCTCCTGCCACCTGTATCAGTCCTGACCTACCAGAACCTGTCAACCAACTAGAAAAACAGTTGGTAGGTCCTGGGGTTAGCTACCTCATGAAGTAGGATTTCTTTAGAAGAATGTAGAACACATTGTTAGTTAAAAATAGTTAAAAACCAGCTGACAAACATGATGGGGAGATGACTGTTGAGAGGTGAAGTGGGAAGGAAGAGCACTAAACCCATATTTAAAAATAGCCTGAATCATATGGTAGATACTCTGTGTTTGTGTGTGTGGTTTGGTGAAGTGGTATCTCTGTTACTCTTCCAGCAGCTGTCAGCTTTTTTTTGAGGGCCGGAGGGTTGTTGGTTGACAGAATCACTCACTTACCCTGCCACTCCTTCAGCCCGGGTAGAATCTGGGAGAGATCACTCTTTACCTGCAGAATCAGAGCACTGCTGGGTAAATAGCCATCTATACATATGCTTTACTGGGCAGTGTCAGTCTGTTATAGCAGCTCACAATCAAGAAAGCAAGAGATTCAAAGTAGCATGTTTACTGCAATGAGCAAAGAGTTAGGTTACAGAATCTTGAAGATGAGGTATGTGTATTTTGACTCTCATTTATCAATAAGTACATTAAGATGGGGGTTCATAGAAACTTATTTAATGGGGAAGATGCTAACTACTTGATTCCACAAAAATGTCCCTCTGTTCTTGTCCTGTAATGTTTTGGAAACATCCATTTTCATTATTCCTAGGTTCAGGGAACTCCATCACAGGCAACCTCCACCATCCCTTGGATCATGGTTGGAGGGAAAACTGTCCGGTGAAGCAGGGCAGCTTCTCTTACTTTAGCAGGGAGCCTCCACCATCTTATAGATGAATAACAACCCCGGTGCTTGATCTTCTGGGTAAGGAAGGGCTACCCATGAAATTGCCCAGAGTTTGGAGGTACTTTTCAGGTTCTAAATTAGAATTGTTGCATATAATAGGTGTACCTTTGAATTGAACATTCAGCTTCTTGAGCATGCAAATTGCTTCCGCCAAGGGTGTTACTAAGTTTACAGGAGGTGGGGAAGGGAGGAATTAACACTTGCTTCACCTGCTACAATAGAAGGAAAGCCCCTGTCTCTGAAGAATTTGCATCGAAAGGAAATTCCCACCTTTGAAAATCCACCCAGAGAAATATTAGCTTTGAAAGAGGGTTTGTCCGTAGCTTTATTGAAAAAAAAGATTCAAAGTCTACTTTGAGTGTGCTAATCTGAGGAGATATGAGAGGGGGCATAAACTATGAGACAGGAAAAGCAAAGAAGCCAGTTTCTCACCAGCAATGAATTGTGTCATCCAAAGATTTCTGGGCTGATATAACAGAAGTGAAGACAGGCTTTATATCATTTCAACAATGGCTGGGAAGAGATACACAATGTTGGGAACAGCAAAAGGAACAGAAATACAAAACACATATGGGGTGTGGGTGTGGAGGGAAAGATTCAAGCAACATTCAAGTGATTGGGGAAAACAGTTCTGTTTACTATGTAGCCAATTTTTTTTTCTTTGGTGCAGGGGACTTAAACTATTGACATTTTCAGGTGCAAGGATGATGGGATTGCACAGTGGAGACCCAATCCTACTTTGGAGGAGATAAATGCTGCATTGCCAGTTAAAACAACTCTTGCAGTGTCAACCCAACAAGTAAGAATTCTATGTGGAATCCTCTCTTAGAGATAGATGTTTGCAGTTTGAGGGTATGCCTAGATTCAATCCTGAACATGGATTGAGAGATTTTGGCAATCCTCAGGAGTGCAACCCTAAGGTAGCAAGGCAACTTTGCCCTTTTCTAGGAATGTTGAATTTGGTCACAATGCCACATGCTTTAGCAGGCAACCAGTACTCCCTAAAACCCTTTCCATGTGTCTTTGGATTTCAAATACAGCAGCATACAGCAGCCAAGGGCATAACTAAATTTTAGATGACTTTTTTAATAAGTGCTTTCCAAAGTTTGCATTTTTTTAATAAAAAGGTAAAATATCATTTAATTAAAAAAAATGCTGCAGAAAAACATCAAATCAGTGTATACTTTATCTTTCAATGAAGAAATTTTCCAGTTTTGGAAAGTTGTAACCAAAATGGCATCTAAAATTCAAAAGCAAAACTAACAATTTTGTCAATCCTAGCAGAAGGCTTTAACTGCTTCAGGCTTTAATTGCTTGTGTATATTCAATCATACTTATATTGCTGAATTAGTTTTCACTTTAAAAAAATGGTAAGCCAAGCTCTTCATCTTTAACAGTAATAGGGAAGCAGATAAAAGAGGCCCTTCCCATGAAGAAATAGCTTGTCTGGTAGAAAGGATTGAGAATTATATTGTTTGGAGATATATTGTTAGCTATATTTGCTAGGGAATTACCAAAATGTGCAGGTTTTTTCATTCAGTCATTGTAATATCACAATGTATATAAAATAAAGTAAAACTGTCAGATTTGTCCATCCCTACATGTATTTTCCATATTAGAATTAGTGTGACTAATTATCAATTTTGTTATGATTTATTAGTCGGTTAAAGCCAACACTCTCAAAGCAATCTACACTGTATCAAAAATAATAAGCAATAATAAAAGCAACGTTTCTATACAATTGTGGGTCTGCTGTTTTTTAAAAAAAATATTATATTTTTTGTACAAGCCTAACTAGATCTCAAAATAATCAGAAAAATGTCCTTCCTCCTATTTCACCAAAACTAAGGATTTATGCTGAATAGGGTTTTACTTATCTGACATCTGGAACATTTCTCCTCTTACAAAGTTGTTGTTTCAATTTCTTGTAGTATATTACAAATGTCATTTGTGCTATGGTTGCTGTTCAATGAGTACACTGTTGTTCTAAATTTGAATTTGTAAGATAGGTAGTTCGTTCCCATCACCTAAAGCTGTCATCATGTATAATTGCTTGATACAGTCATATTTTCCTGCTGTTGCAATATAAAAAATTCACAAGATGATCAGAGGAATCCTCCAAAGTCACTCTTGAAATCTCCATTCAGTTCTTCCTCCTGTATTGACTATCTACATTTCTTTAAAACAAAAAGATGTGTATTTCAAAAGTAAGAAAAAGAAAACATTTCTAAAATTATTCATTATTCATTATTTTTATATCATTTTATATCATTTTTATATTACATCCAACCCAGATATATTTATTTATGTATACAGTATAACCAGTTGTGAGACAAATGTGAGGTACAGATCCTTAACACAAAAATATTATCTCTTAATTCTGATAAAATATTATTCAGTAATATGAAACAGCAATTATTAAGACCATTCAAGAGAACAAATAAGGATATTATTTTATACTTTGGGAATTCATTTAGGAACACCTTCTCAGCAAGTAGGTGAGATAAATCAATAGCACATGTAAGAAGTAAAGGAGGCAAAGTGTTCACTGCTTTTAATGATGTCTTTCTTTTTAAATTCTTCCCTTCTATTATTAATAATGGAAGGGAATTAAATTAGATCAGGATCAGGACTGGATTAAATTCCCTTTGCAACAGAGGTATGCACAGATCTAGGCAGACTTTTCTGTACTATAGGTCCCCTTGCAACCAGTGTCCAAAACTCTCCCTCCCTTCTCTGTCCCCATGCTCTTTTTTAGACTCTCCAATATCTGTGTTTCTTGGCATTTGAAAACTTAGCCATAAATGGCTAAGATACCAGGATGGTGAGAGATTGCCTCATTGGTTACAACCCATTACCAAGTTTGGAAGAGAGAATCTATAGTTCCTAGATTGTTGGACCAGAGGTCATGGATTAGCAGCATAAATGCCTTTTAATTTAACCTGGAAGTGCGACTGGCCCCTTCACTCCTGGCCTTCTGTAAGGCTTTGAAGATCTGGTTCTGCCACTTGGCCTGGGGTGGGGAGGGAATACCTCAAGCATGGGGATGGCTAGCCCCATAGAGGCCTCCTATTTTCAGTCTCAGATTTTTCATCTTCTTGGACTCTCCTTCCCCTTTTTAGTATTGCTTTTAACTGATGTTTTATATATTTATGTTTTTAATGTTTGTTGTGAGTCACCAAAGGTCCCCCATTGGGGGGAGATGGGCGGGTGAGAAATTAATTAAATAAATAAATAAGTTTTCTCCCCAAAAAGTATATAAATTTATTATTCACTTTCTTAAGCACTTACATGTTATTGTAACAGAAGATGGATCAAGTATTACATTTGTACATTCAGGTATATCCAAGTCAGAAATACGTTGCTGGCCATATATATCTTGTCTTAAAATATTCATTACAAAGTCTTTATTCATCCTATACTTCATGAAGTCATCACTCTCAGGTGGCACCAAGAACTGCAAGTAATATGATGCTGTATTGTTTTCTCCGCTGAAGAAATAAGAGGAAGAGAGAATGAAAAGCCAAAGGGTTATAAACAATTCCATCACTGATGTTTCTAAGGTTTTCACCTAACACGTTCTAAGTGTTTTTCAAAAATTTGTTGCTATGAGCTCCACGAGGTAGAATAGACCAAGAATCAACGTCACAGAAAGGCTAGACTACTTTTATTGAATATACTTTTATTGAGTGGCCATAACAACAGAATACTGCAAGTCTGATTGTGCTGTGCCTCCTCCCCTTCTTACACACATGTAAATTAGGGAGGTGTCTGAGTTACTTACACATACTTACTGCTTGTTTTTGACTTAAGATATGTTTTTCTTCTCATCACTTTAGTAATGGATCCAATTTATATCTGTCAAGGTAATTTTCCTTACTCTCTACAGTTGCTGCTACAATTACCAATCTACAGGATGACTCTGGTAAATGGATGTGGTTCATTTGTACAAGATCTGCAGCCTGATTTCAGAAACTTCAAACATCCTGGTCCCGGCATCAGCCTCCAAAGCCAATTATTTTGACACAAGAACTCCAACATTAAGGAGGTAGTTTGAGTTGGGAGTTTGAAGTCTCTTGGATCTAGAGCCTCTGAGAGATTATTTAAGGAACCAAAGGGGCTGTTGGTGTGCAGCAACCAAAGACATCATCTCACAGACATGGCTTCAAATAGTATCTAATTGCTGCCATACGTGAATCAGATATACATTCCCTCTCACTGTACACAGCAGAATGGAAATGGTTCTAAAAGGGGAAAAACAGCTGAATAAGGAAAGCAATATTTTTTTTTAAATGCCTAATTTATTTCCTGCTAGGAGCAACTTAGCAGGAATTGGGTTCTCTAAGTCTTTCACATTGGACAAACTTCTCACTTCATCATTAAGAAGTTCAGTTACAAGGTAAAAAAGACTGAACAAATTCAATAACCATTAAATGCTGCTGGATTTCTTTACATTTTCCATATTCATATAAAATGGCATGTCTGACTACAGTCTTGAAGAGGATAGGAGTGGGGATAGGCTGCATGGCTGAAATAAATGCTTATAATCATAAACCTTAATTGCATTTCAACATACCACAAACTGCCCAGAAAATCTTCATCCCTTCATTCCCTCTTTCCTTTACTCTCCCCAGTCCACACATGACCATCAAGATGAAATTCTTTCCCCTAAAATTACATAATTAAATATATGTGGTGGCTTTTGTTTTTGTTTTTTGTTTTGCCTTTCATACCTGAAGGAAATAACTTCAGCTGAGATAAAATATCGCCCCAATGCAGGTGAATAACTGTATACATCTTTAAGCTTGAAAGGAAAAAAAAACCAATCATGATCAGTCTTACACAATATGGAAAGAACTCTTTCATTTAGTCTGCAATTAACTTATAGCTAAGTACAATTTGAAAAACTAGTTTTCAGCTTTTTATGTAACCTAGAGCAGAACCTGCTTTTCTTCATCTAAGGAGAAAATTCACTCTACCATTGCATATGGTTATCTAGCAGAATGCTACAAACAGATACTATGTATTCTTATTAAGAGCTTCAGCTAGAATTAGTAAAATGGTACTCTTACTGAAATACCATACAACATCTTATACCCAAGGGCAAACATTTCTAACCCAAAACTATTACCTTTCCAAACTACAGATAAGTCTTAGCTGTCTATTTTAATAGTGAAAGCAAATGTTCAAAGATAGAAGAAAGAATCCCTTAGTATACTGTATCCCTGATGATAAGTCTAGGGAGATTCCAAACCACCAATGTTTTTTTACTTCACAATCCCTCATAAGGCAGTTCTAGATAGCTAAATGAACTTACCCTCTTATTAAGATTTTTAGAAAATATATCATATGCAGATTCTGAGAGAAGCGCATTAGGATTTGGACAATTAATATTTACTACTCCTGAGAAATTGTGTTGTTTACCACCTGCAATTAATTCAGGATCCCAATATTCATCTTCATCTATGTAAGTCTCTAAAATAACAAAAGGGGATAAAATTAGTTATTTAGGCACATAGCCTAAAGGTGACTATAGCAACTCAGCGTCTTATTTCATCCAGGCCAGAAGTCAACAAACTTTTTAAATTAAAATTTGAAGACCCTACTGTAAGTGAAAGCTGCCATGTGGGAAGACTTTGCCCATTGTCCAAATAGGTAGTGACTGAAAGAGAAGCCACTACAGATAATAATTGCCTGTTATCTCTTTTTAGAGGACCAGGTCTTCTAAAGCTGTTCCCAGTTATATAGATATTGCATCATCTATCTGTTCCCTGACTAAAAAAGGAACACTGTCCATGATAGTAGGTTTGGTATTGAAGGGGTTAACCCAAAGTTGGGTTGACCTTTTGGGAGCCTTCAGGGTAACTTAACTTGTTTGACTTCCTAATGAATTGGAGAGAGTTCTTTATGTGGTTAGCTGCTTCCCACTACCTTTCCCAGCTCCTATCTTGGAATGATCCTATGTATACAACATGGTCAACATGGAAAGGGCTTCTTTCCACTCCCTTTTTGCTTGCTGCTCCTTCTCATTTGCATATATTTCAGAATCTGGGTCCTTGATTGGAATTTTGTTCCCCCTCCCACTTAAGGTTCCACGCATTCTTGGATGCATTTTAGGATTTAAAAACCTACTTATTCAGTAAAGCAGACTGATCAGTGGAAGTGGTTGTGCATAGATACTGATGATGGTGGTGGGACTTCTTTACTGCAAATCTTATTAATAAAATTAGTTGGCTGATAGGTAGGTTTAAGCTTTTATGATTGTATAGTATCATTTTCATTGTGATTTTAAATATATTATGGTATACATTGATTTCATTCATTTTGTTGCAATTGCTGTTTAGTCTTTGTTTTTTGTTGTGACTGGACTGTGTCCTGTTGAGGTATGGGTACTAAATAAAAACAATTGTTTGGGATCTTAATGGGTAGAAACTGCTTCTCTTTTCTGGTTTTATTAATAGTGATTTAGTGTTATGGGATATATTACAAAGAGATGGGATGAGAGTTGAGAATGGAATTTGGTTTGGGAGCAAATAGTGAGTGACTTAATAGCTACTTAAAGTAATGGCACCAGTAGGTTAGTTTAATTTTAATAAATAGATGGGGGTGGTACTAGAATGCTTTTGTATATGTGTGTATATATATAGAGAGAGAGAGACAGACAGACAGACAGACAGAGACAGACAGACAGACAGACAGACAGACAGACAGACAGA